TTCCAATAATCAAACATTTTTAGATTAAGTCAGGTAAATGTGATATTTTGCAAACTGTCAGGGAAAACTCAGGAAATTTTACAAGGTGGTTTGTTTTGTAGATTCTTCCAACCTCCGTAGCTCAGGGTAAGCTTAAGGGCCTATAAATTCCAAAAAATATGGAACGCTCTATTTTTGGCAACAGGTCGTGAACGACGAATTCTCTGGTTTACTGTCTAAGTATGTTAACTACTAGTCCATACCCGGCTCATTTTGCGTTGTTAGATAAATCAATGCACAATATGAATGTTAACGTGAGCTTTTGAGGTAGAAATAAAATCACAAGCAATTTTGTTCTGATAAATATAAGCACTTCAAATAAATAACAAACAGAAGTAAACTTTTCGCCTTCCAAGACGAAATTAAATTGTGGATATTTCAAAAGCTACCATATTTCTGTCTTTAAATAAATAACTGCAACATCCGCATACGTATACATACAAACCATACGTCATGCATGTGCGTGTGGGATTCGCACTAAATTAAGTTTTTCCGTAGTTATTAGTTTAACAGCTCATACATAACACTGATAAAGTTAAACATCTGGAACTTATCTCACGTGTACAATTTATGGTGTTACCTTTACTGTCATAAAGATGTGCTGGTCACTGAACAATAACAAGAGGAGCTTAAATACATTCAACAATGTAGGATAGGATAATCGAGGCTGAGAGATGAAGCTTCTTGAACAAAAGATTCAAAAAATATTTAGATGAATAACTGGCGTGTATTACAGACTATTTCTTAGTGTAGATGGTCCTTAGATTTTCCTTTCTACTGTAGCCTAATATGCTTAATAATATAACCAAAGTAAAGGTGACATATTTACGTGAAAAGCTAGACAGTCTTAAGTTATCTTTCGAAATAGCAAATATAAAGGTGGATGTACAGGAAAAGTTTGAATACAAGAATACTTTCCACCTAAAGTCTTATAAAGTTTCAGTTCTTTTCATTGGCTTAGGTTAGCTGAACAAAAGCTGATAAATCTTGCAAATGCAGTTTTCAACAGATTTGTTGTGAATTTTGTGCCTATAATGTGATTTTACTTTGTTTCATTTTACAACTTTTAACTCGAAAGGTTGACAAAATGGGAAATTTTAGGGCCAGCTGGAAAGCCTCGAACACATTTCGGAATGAAGTAGAATAAAGGGGAGTGTACAATCAAAAACAAACCAATCCAAGGAAATTGGATAAGTTTAAAATTGTTACGATAAAAAAAACAACACTTGTAAGTACACATTATCATACGCTGTTGTTTTCACTAGATCTGTGGTTCTGTCAAATACGATCTATCGACAAGTCATCAACTTCACAAGCAGCATCTATGAAACATTATTTCCATTCAAACTACCACAAACCGTTAAAAGCTGTTTAGTTTTCTGCCTTGTTAATCGACTACAATATATTTATTGTAACTAAGTCACAGCATTCAAAACATTTGAATTTGTTTTAAATATGAGAATACCATATAAAACAGCTCTCAAATTATCTGACATTCCAAGAAGCAACATATGAAAGGCACTTTCCCAGGGAGACTCTTAGGTAGGAGAACCCAGAAGGATAACGTGTAAACTCATACATTCCGCCTAAGGAAAAATCAACACTTCAGTTACATGAGAATATATGGTTGAGAATGGATACCACAAGTAGAAAAACCAGGAAAGTAATGCAACCTTGCACATAATAAAAAACAACAACATAAGTCCTCAGTAGCGACCGAAATAGATGTTAGGAATTTGTGGATTCCACTAAACCAAACGAAATTATTCACGATCCACTTTTTCATCTAGAATAAACCATTCACAACATAGTCTACAATAAGTAATAAGAAAAAACAAACATAAAACCCTATAACGATCGTGCTATCACAAAACGACTGAACCACACACACCTGATGAAGATCCATGAAAGTGAATTGAAACGTTATGGCTCACTGAAGGTTTTCAGCCATGTATCCACATATTATTTATCATGAAATTCAGGGCAGGCCTTTGGGGTGGTGACGTGTGCCTCTGCAGAGGGTGCTCACCCCAAGAGGCGCCAAAATCGATATTGCAATTAGCAGTTCTTGTCAATTTTAAAGGAGAAGGGTGCCGAGTACAAAGTTCGCACAGGCCACAATTTCCACCAGGGTCGGCTGTGATAAAGTGAATTTAACCTGCTAAACATGACTTTCAAACAATATTCGTATGGAGTTGTTTTCGCTCATATTATTGTTAACTATTTTTGTACCTATATGTTTATTATGTATCCTTCATAGGGAGGTTTGTTTGTTTGAAGCTAAGCACAAGGCTACACAATGGGCTATAT